GAGCGACACAGAGGTCATGCGAAGGAGGCTGCGAGTACCAGTTACTGCTCAAGTACCTTATCGTTACTATTGACGATAACGATACAGGCGGTGATAAAGTACAGTACGGTACAGTACTAACGAATGCTAGTGCCTCAATAGTGTCTTAGATAGGTAGTTTGAGCCTGGCTCTCCGTTCTTGGGTGGCTTAGGGCGAATGACGCACTGCCTGCCCATCCACGCGCCAGGTAAGCCAGAGACAGCTCCCCAGCCGTTCAGGGGTCTTTTGTTACATCGTCCCAGCCGTCGCCAGCATTCAGCATTTCAATTCGGGCATCACATGTCGGCTTTAAACCGCTACAGGTTTATTCTGTCTCTTATCCGCTTAGAATATCAATAGAACAGGCTACCCCATCCTCGGTCACTATTTCGATACACAATTCAAGTGCTTGCTACCGAATCGAACTGCTACCATGCTCAGCGCATCATGAACAACCCTCGATCGCCTTGGTCTGTCGTACATGTAGTGAGCTATGTCGTTGCGCATACCCGTGTCCTACAATAACGACCCAAGGCACCATCAAGACGATAATGCCACACTTAACAGAGCTACATCACAAAAGAGTGTCCGCCGAAGTCAGCTCGATGGCTCGAAAACTCCTACCGATTCGAACCCAACTCTTACCTCCGAGAGGCCATCTTCACCCATTCCACAACGCCGCCATGTAGTGATTCCGGACCCCGTTGCCTTCAGGTGCGCCGTGATGTCCAGTAAGATGGCAAACACAACACTGATATTTATTGTAACAGGTATTTGGAGGAAGACAAGTGCGTTAGTGTCGCCGAGCGAAAAGCTGAGCTTAAAGGCTACGAGTTGTACCTAGTCGAACAGTGGGCTTGTTCCCGGCAGTCACCCACTCTCGTCATCGTCACGTATACCGGAGATGAAAAGCACCTAGTCATAGTCGGTGTGCTGTCGGTGCCTGCAGACGAGAAAGCCTGGTCACCACGTCTGCGCATTTACTTCAAGGCCATCCAGCAGTATCATGCGCGGCCCAAAGAGACAGAGCTGGGCGAGTTGATGGTGACAAACCTCAGCAGCTTCCCCTCAGCTCTGACTGTCATATCTGTGCCGGGGGGTAACATCAGGAATCAGCGACGCACATTTATAGTCAACGAAAATTTGAAGAGATTGGGCTGCTCAGGACGGGCCGGTATGACCCTGTCCGAGCCCACAGCTGCTGCCAAAGCCAAATTCCACCAGCTCTACAAAACAGACGATAAAGTGTCGATCGAAGAGGCCGTCACTGAGCTGGTGAAGCTCTGCCAAGTCGCCCTCTTCCTCTTTGGCAACCTTGACCAGGTATATATCGATGGTTTGCTATGTGACATGACTGAAACCGCTGTCGGTGACTGGTGGACCGAGTTTGGAGTCGAGTACTTCAATATGGAGCCTACAGATGGCATCCTCGGACCAACAACTGTAGCTGCGCTGCTTGGCTTGTTGATGGGCGCAAGAAATAGGTTGAGTTACTTGGGCGCGCCCGTATCGAAAGACGTTTTCGATATAGATTCGACTGAAAGGGGCATATCTTATTTCCAGAAATACCATAAACTAGACAGAACACGACAGCTTGATCGACAGACCATGCACAAGTTGCATGCGCTCACTGCCAAGGCAGCAGCAGGTGAGGGATGGGGCGTGCAGAAAGCAGTCAAGTCAACGGTCACGGAGATAGGTGGCAAACGCGGCGAAATAGTCTTAGGAATGGTTGGTAGTCGTGACAAGGGCGGCATTGGTGATATTGAGACTTTTGATCTCGACCGGTTCATTAGCCTAGCTTCTGGGGAACGTGCAAAATGGCTCTGGCACGGGAAGCCCAAACGTGCACCAGCCTTCGACCATGAGAAATCTGGACCTGACATGATTCTGTTTAGCAAGGAGGGTTCCCGAACATCTTTCGAAGACGAGGGTGAGCGCCGTCGAGGAGAGGAATCACCAGCAGTTTATTCTGCGCCCGCTCCTGGCTCTGCGGCAAGTATAACCGATAGCCCGGGGGACAAGGATGCAATGCGGCGAGGGATGTTCAAAAGCGTGGCCCGCGACGCTCGATCCGGCCTTGGGCGAATCAAGGATGTAATGACTAGCGGTAGTGGACTCCGAGCGCACACAAGCCGGTCGTCAAGGGACGAGTCTTCTGAATCTACTCTCAATGGCCCGCAGTCTTCGTTTTTGTCTGGTACTTCTGCAGGCCTTGTCAGCAGCCCGGCGCAGCTCCCTAATTCTGTACCGCTCAGTCGGGCTTTTACATGGAAGAATAAGCCCGAGGAGTACTTGAATACGATTAAGAGGGAAAAGGACGTCTCTGCGGTAGCACTCCCTGCTACTGCTGTCGCTGTGAACGAAATATTACCGGGCGAATCGTGGACTTTATCTAGAAGCAACGATGCAGTTCGAAGATGGACTGCCAACAATAAGAAACGAGCATCTCAATTCATCCAGGCTCAGGATGATCCCACCACGGCAGACCCCTCGGTCGCCGGGTCTGTTGCGGCTGATAGCATAGGCAAGGGTGAGAATCAAGACTCTGTCCAAGCAACAAGGCCTCGTCTTACGACCTTGTTGTTCAGTCTTCGCCGTCGACACAGCATTGCTGGCTCCCAGCCCCCCAGTTGTGCTTGGCTATCCGAAGCCCGTTGGCCTCGAAGGTTATCATTTGGTGATGCTGAAGAAGCTGTTCTCAAGTTAGAGGAAGTAGAAGACCTCACAGAGACCATAGATCTAGCCGCGGATGCTCAGCCAGAAAAAGGCGTGCGTCTCCTGGAGATCGCGCAGGCCATATACCTTGATATCGCAGACCTCGAAGACAATGTGGAACCCTGGGTCGACAGCAAGATTCGGTCCATTGAGGCGATTGGTGAGACGTATTTGCGCCAGCTGGATGAATTGCAAACACTATACCAGGAATCCTCAGCTATGTACCAACAAGCCCAGCAGGATTCTCAAAGCTTGATCGCGGACCATAGAGAACATCTTACCGAGGCACTTAATCAAGTCGAGGGTGAAGCAGCTAAGTTAGAGTATGAGATAACCGCACTGCTGTCGCGGGTGCAAGATGTGGAAGACGGTGCTGCACAATTCGAAATACAAGTTGAAGAGGTCGAACAGAGAGCTGAGGATCTGAAGGCGCAGCTAGAAAAAGAGAGTTGGCTACACTGGGCTGTAAGGACATTGACCGGCATTGGAACAGGTCCAAACATCACGAGGCCACGACCGCAACGATGAACCAGCATTTGTATTGGAGTGTTTATTTGGCTTGGTGCTCTCTCAGACTTATTTGCTTTTGACGTTCTCACTTTGTGCTACCAGTTACAGTTCAGTTGGGATTAGCATTCGGCGCAGGCAAAATATTGGCGTATAGCCAAAGACTCGAAAGACATTACATTGCTTAACTCAAGATAGATACCCGGATAGCATAATAGATAGGTCACTAGATAACGGTTCCGTTTTGGTAACTACCTGTGTATTCCGTTGATCTTAACTGGTGCTCTTTTGATACTGAACTCTGCCAGTTGGATCAGCTGGGATTGATTGACGTGAGCTAGCTTGAATCAGCTGTCAGCTGCCAGCTGCCTGATCGGCCCAGGTGCAACATCGATGATTATTGTCACGTGACGTGGAGAATCTAGCCTGGAAGTCTAGCCAGAATTATCGGGCATTCTAGGTCCCTCCTAGATAGGTTTTACCATCCCAAATCGGAATAGGGATGCAACCTGAGCCATGCTGCTTTTAACCTGAGCCCGGCCTGAGCATAACCCACACAGAAAAGCATAGAGCTTTGCATAATGTCTCATATAGGGAGCCTATACTTAGGTACTAGGTATCTTAGGTACCGTAAGTTACGGGGTATGTGGTAGTAGCTGGTGTTAAGTGATGTATTGTCCTGGAGGACGAAGGGCTTATTCTTTAATCTGGTACATATACTATATTTACTCTCACAGTAGTATTGTAGTTAAACGGACTTTAGGAGTAAAATAATACTTTAACCGAGTGCGTATTTAAAGAACTAAAGTTTATAGCTTCGCGATCTAAAACCAATGAAAAGTTTAGCTATTACGACTAGAAGTACGTTTAGTCAGTCAGCTAAGTGAAAATTGTAATAAAATCATATCGCGTAACCTAGTAAATCTAGAGAAGGCCTGGTTAGCGGTGCTGTTTTTAGTGCTTTATTTTCATAGCCGTGGTTTTAAAGGGTATATGGGTTATCTATCCAAAAGGTTGCTTTACAGACTCCATTGTAATCAAAGGTGCAGCAGGGTATATATATCAAAGACGAGCTTTGATGTGGACAATTATTTAGGTATAATGCTGCGCTTTCAAACCTAGCTAGCTAGCCTAAGGATCTTGCCATTGATATTTTTTACTGTGTAATAATGGCCTTGCTCAGCTAAAGACGAAGAAGATAGCAAAAGCCTCTTAACCGGGATCCCCAACTCCCCACCCACCTCCAAAGCACCGCAAGCGCGCACCCCGTTCCCGCGCATCTATCACGCGCCACTCGAAGCACTCGACCTAGCGCGTCGGCTTAACCGCGAACAAACTAAGCACGTATAGCAGGTCTTCGTCGGACATGATGCCTTGCGGCCGGTAGCGGTCGTAGATGCAGCTGACGCGGGCGCGGCGGGACGGCTGAGGAGGTCGGCGGGGGCTACGTTGCTGCGGGTTGGTTTTGGGTTTACGGAGGACGGTGAGGAAGAGCGCCGCCATGTTACTGCTTGGGCGAGGATGCTTTCAGTCTGTGTGGGGGTGAGTAGTTGTTCCTATGCCAAAAGATAAAATATACGGGCTTTTTTTAAGCGAGTAAATAAGTACTAACTAACTAACTAACTGCTGGCTGGCTGTTATAACAAGATAGAGAGACAGATATATATAGATAGATAGATAGATATAGATAGATAGGATAGGCAGGTAAAAAGAGAGATTGCAACCGCAATTAAATAAAACTTGGAAAAAAATTTTGTCCCAGAACCAGGAATCGAACCTGGATCCCCCGGCCCCCGAAGGGCATGGTCTTTACCATGTGTCAACTAGGGATGTTACCATTACACCACTCTGGGTTTTTCTGTTAAAGGCTATTCAGTTGGACAAACTTATAAAGTATAAGCCAGGCAGCAGATAGCGACACCCCAACAGCCTGATATCATACCAACTAGACCAGTTGGGGCTTGATGGATATACAGGGGCTAAGTTCATTTGAAAACTGGCCTGGCCGTGATGGGGGCAGTTGTAGTAGGAAGGTACGGAAGAAGCGCGGTGGAAGAGTGTCGGAAAGAGCGTGGGTGGAAGAGTGTCGGAAAGAGCGTGGGTAGAAGAGTGTTGGAAAGAGTGTCGTGGTAAGAGCGCTTGTGAGAGGGTTTAGCGGTAACATTTGTGTTATGTGACAAACAAAAGAACAGAAGTCTGATGCAGTGATCGGACTGTATTTCTTTGTAAATATTCTGCTTGAAGAAGCAAAGGAAAGAAAGACTAATCTACAGGTGCGCGAAGGCTTTTGTGTGCAAAGGTGGGTGGTAGTCTATGAGTGCGCATGACTTTCAATGCCAAGAATGCTGGATACTTCTGGCCCTGTGCCTCGTACTATAAAGAGCCCCTCTACTAAGTCAGTACGAGGTGTGTGTGGATTAACCATCTACATTAAAGATATTAAATTGAGTGGCGGGTATATCTACCTAAACACGAATAATAATATAAACGCTGGATGTTTTATCTCTAGGTTTTTTTAATAATTCTTTTTATTTAACTGTTCGGAGCGGTTATTAGACTCGGCATTCTGCTTTTCAAAATTGAGCCAGTATCTCTTTGCAGCTGTGCACAATTACTATAAACTATTGAAGGTTATAACCAGGCTCAAACTTTTTCTATATGTCGTCTTCGTCCACTAGGTGCTTAGTTATCCAAATTAATGTGAATTTGAATGTTTGCAACTGTTTACTGTACCGACACTTGTTCTCAGAGCTGGGACCGTTTCAAGCTTGGAGGTTTCAAGATTATCGCTCTCTGCATAAAGCAATGCATAAATGCACAATGGCCGTTTCACAGTCACCTAACTAATAGCTAGCTAAGCCCATCCTGAGATAAAGCGGCAAATGCGCTAAACCTAGTTCGTTGTATACTTGGCATTTGGTAAAACCTAGAACCTTTATTATAGACACTCTTTCCTTTCCGCGAGGACTAATCTTTAATTTAGGCCTATGGCGGGAAAATAAGCTGAAACTAAGCATCTTTACTATTTTATAACGTATGGCTCCCTCTATAGTATTAGATCCCGAGGCTGACTAATTGTAAGATCACTTCTGTGTTCTTTTACATTTGACTATTACGTCTAGATCTGACATTTGTCCTTTGAACCCAATTGCTAACTACCTGTGATGGCTACTAAAAAAAGCCTGACGCCGCCCAGCCTGCTTCTGCCCTTCAAACATGCCGTTGGACCACCCCAACTTTGACCAATTGAATCGTCTTTCAAATGCTCCTAGCTGCGTCACAAAAGGTGGTGTCTTGTATAGCTTAGCTATTGGTAGCCGACCTTGATCTCATTTAACACACTAGGACATGAAGCCTCCAAATCCAATCAATCTCGGAGATGGCAGATTTTCTGCAGATATGGCGCGGACCATGCGCTGGGCATCTACGTCTTTTAGCCCGTCGGGTTGACTAGGAAGAATACGGTGCGTATGGCTCTCTGCCCTCTTTCTCTCCCCCTTACCCAAGTCCCATCGTGTTATCAGCAAAAGCTAATAAAATAAAGGCCTAAAAGGTCCTACCGATAAGCAGACCCCCCCCCTCCCGGGCCACCCCCTCACGGGCCACCCTTTTCAACGAACAGCCGTTGCGAGGGCATACGGAAGGGCAGCCAGTTTTCGGCTAGTATCCGGAATTCCTTGGCCTC